CTCACACACACACACACACACACACACACACACACACACACAATTTTGCAATCACAAATTTGACCCAGACTGACATGCTGCTGAAGAGATGGAGAGGCAGCATTTATGGGAGTGGGATCTAAGGTTCTTAAAACCCTTCTGGTTAGGAACTGGGTGAACCGGCCACATGGCTTTCCCCAATTAACTAATTTCTCACTAATCTAAAGATCTATTTAGAAAGGTGTGGAGGGGGTGGAAGATGGAGATTTAAAGATAACCTCTAATTGGTCTTGAGAAATTTCGTCCACGACACCTAGAAAACCTTTTTCTCTTTCATTCTCTCTCTCCTCTTTCCCTACCCCCTTTCCTATCTCTTTCTTTCATTTTGTCTTCTGGAAATTAAAAGTGGACTTGAAAGAAAGGAGTCCTGAGAAACACTTGGGAGGGGGAAGGAGCAAAAGTGAACTTTTAATTTTTACTGTGCTGCATAGCAATCTTATTTTTAATCATCCAACTAGCTATTTTGTGAAAGAATCATATTCAAGAAGATCAGCCTTCACCCTGATTGGGAAAACTTAAGCACACAGAAAATTGATAGTTATGATTTGTTTTCATATCTTCAAAATACAAGAATGTAGATTTTTAGATGTTTTTGTCTGCAGAAAAAAATTTTCAATCTGAGTGTTCCTTATTGGAGTGGCTCAGGCAGCCATCCCTATTGATAAATTCCCCTCGAAATGGAACCAAAATTGGCATCCTTCAAAAAAGTTGATCTACCTAGAAATGGATGGATCAGCCCTGATTGGGTGGACATGCCCTTTCACCTCATTGTGTCTGACCTATCACTTAATTAATCTCTCCCAGATGCAGAGCTGTTGACAATGCCAAAGATAAGCAGTATTTTGAACAAAGCAGGAAGCTTTTAAAAGAACAAGCCACCGTTTGAGGCTCTTTAAAATGTGTAAATCATCAGCATTTGGATGCACAGACTTTGCTATAACAGCTGAGTCTAAGAGATGGTCCCATCTTTTCTGGAAACTTTCGGTGCCTTTCTTTAACCACTGATGTCTATGTGCATTCATGTTCAGCCTTTTGCCTCTGTGCCTCTGGTTCCCTTTCTTCTGCCTCTCCCTCTTTCCAAATTTAGACTACCCATGGCCAGCTTCCTGAAAATTGTCCTCTGCTTTCTAGTCTTGTCTTTGGCTCTTGAGACCCCCCTTTTTAAATAGTATTAGGGTTATCGAGGTGGTCAGTTCGAAAGCTTTGGGTGACAAAATATTGACTGCATTTGATAGTACCTATGGAGGAGGACATTTGTGCTGGAGGCATCTTGGTGACATACAGGGAATAGTTAATTAATTAAAAGACTTGCTAATTGCTGCTTGAATTACTGTACAGAGCAAATGAAACAGAGAGTTTATAAAAGATGACAATTTGAAGAATGATTTTTTTTCTTAAAATATTTATATAAACAGGTCCTAAAAAATGTGTTGCCTTTACTCATGCCTCTATCGTCAACTATTCAATTGAGCTTCAATTAATGATAATATATGGCTTGGGATCCTTAGCTGGGCCTGACTGATGGAAGAGCTTTGTTGAATTTGGTGCAGGTGGCACTGTTTAATAAGCACAGGAAAGAGTGAATAATGTAGTGCTTGCAAAGAGAAGTAAATGCAAAATAGATCGCTCTAATTATGGCAGCCCCCAGAAATGAAGACGCAAGCTGAAATGGCCAACTAACTGGGAAATTCCAAATAGAACTGATTGTCCGCTGCCTTTTTACTTTCAAGGGCTGACACGTTAGCTTAGAAGTAAATGTGGATGAGCTCATCTGACTCAACACAAGCACAAATTCAAAACCTGAGTCTGATGACCTATCAGTGTTTGCCTTAACCGTCTAGAATCCTTTACGCAGTTCTAGCATAGGGCTATCTGAACATCTCTACAAAAGATCGGCACAAGCTCATTACAACTAGTCTTCATGTTTTATTGCCAAGTGTCAGGAGATTTTGGTTTTGTTTTGTTTGAATTTCTTTATGCTTGAGAAAATAAGTCTATAGGAAATCAAAGTGTGAATACTTAAGCAAACAGAATTTCCCATATACCTGCAAGGCCTCATAATGATTTTCATTCATGCAGAGATAATCGATGGGACATTAGTTGTTTTAATTAATGGAAGAATAAAAATGGTGAGGGAGGGGGTGCCAAGAGGCTGGGTTTTGGCTAAAGCCTATATGGGAAAACTGTTCTACACCTGAAGAGACAATGCCAACTTCCCAAAGACCAGGAGAGATTTGCTAATAAGATCAGTGGAAAGTTAGGCCAGGCTAGAGGCAGGGTCTTGGTCTTGCAGAAAGCACAGGTGGAGAGATGGTAGCCGTGCTGGACATTTTCCCTTCTCTGCAACCTCCCTATTCCCTTAGGAAAAGTACCGAGTCCTACATCACCTCATTGGTTACTTTCAAAGAAGGTGCACTTTGTTCTAGGAGCCTAGTATGCTTTGTGTCAACAGCTGGGAAGGCAAAATTATCTTGGATTATGGAAGGCTAGGGCTGAACGGTTTGTTAGGTATGGGATGATCTGTGTGGCAGTGGCTCCAGCAAGTGGGTACAGACTCTTGTCCACTGACAGGGGACCCAGGGAGGAACCAAGTCCAGTATCTTTAGACCAAACCCCGTTTTTGTTCTTTGGGAATATCTACCAAACCCACCTTTAATCTAGTGAGCACTGGCTGGGCACCCGAGTCCATTAGTGCCAGTGTATGTGAAGCTCATAAAAGGTTTATGAGGAAACTTGTGTTTCATAATGGAGTTTAGGGGTGTCCTGCAGTCAGAAAGGGAGAGCAGAGATGCCTTTGAAAGAAAAAAAGACTGTGGAAGGAAATTTTTCTAGTATCAAGTGTGTTTGAAGGTATCAAAACTATTAGCTAGTCAATCTCCCTCCCCTACCCCATCCCCACTTTTTCTTATAAAATCTTCCTGGTTCTCTTTTAAGACAGTGTGGCCTCCTGTGTAAGGAAATTTATTGCTGTTGTTTTTTGTGCTTCAACCTGGAAGACTTGCAGAGCAGAGGCTAGCAAAATGGCCTTTCCAGGACTGGCTATAATTCTGGGCTAGATTAAAAAGAAATTATCTTCCAGGTACAAGGTATAGCTATAGTTATACCAGTTGGAAAAAAAAATGACTTCTTGTTGAAATATTTACTTTTTTTTCTTCCAAGACAGTTTATATCTTTTGTGAAAATTAGGTGTGGGGAGATGTAGTTATCTATTGTGTGTTTTGTTGCAGTTGTTCTTTGAGAATGATCTGATCTGATGGATTTATATTGTTACCAGTGTGATTTGAGCAGGGGCCCAGGTACAAACTTTCTGCACCCTAATTGATAATGGTAAATCCTTTTGCTGAGGTGAACAATCTCTGACCTGGTATTCATATTTCTTTTACCAATTCCCTGTAATAAAATTGAACATTTTGTCACCACTTTGAGAAACACTGCCAAACACCTTAAAACACATGTCACATGCCAGCAACCCCTCATTTCCCTCCTCCGGGGAGCTTCTACATCTGGAATCATAATCACAGATAAAAACCTTGACAAAATTGCATCTGAGCACATTCTCTCTGCAGCCCTTACTTTCTCATAACATTTAATACAATATTAATACCTGCTACCGAAAGACAGGAGGGAGGAAAAGGGCTGCCAACCTCCACATTTCCTGATGCATCATGTTCAAACCTGAAATTCACACTTCGTGTTTCATTTTAAGTTCAGTGCATTTAACAGGGCCCTAGAGAGAGAGCCCTGGTTAGTTCCCCAACCTGCTCAGCTGACGCCCAGGGAGGCGGTTTCAGAATTGTTCAGATCGCTGCAGGGAGAAGAGGAGGAGGAATTGGGCTACTCTTTGCCAGCAATGGGCCAAGCCATATCTCTATTCTAGTGTCACAGACGCGAGGCTCCCCTTGGAAATAACTAAGACCCCACTGATTTTTGCTGTCGATAGTGGTGATCAGCAGATTTTCTGTATGGTGTGACCAAGGCAATGAGTTAATTTCATAAAGAAAGATAGCCATGCCTGAGCAGACTTACTGCTGACTGACGGCCTCTCACATCAATATAAAACAATTTCCCCTTTGCTGAATGAAGCCCACAAGCCTGTGAAAGGGGGTTCTTGTTGAAAATATGGGATTTCTGCCATGCCTAGAACTAACCCTCACCCCACCTTTTCTTGGAGATGATGCCCACAACCCCACATTCCTACACAGTGGGAAAGAATCACCATCCCTCTGCTATACGAACTGGAGACAGAGGTTAGAGAGAAGGGGAAAGTGCAGGAAGCATATCCCACTGGGGGTATTTCCTGGGGACACAGGTGATACCCTGGAAATGGACTTTCACAGGTCGATAGCTTTGTTCAATCTCTGCCTTCTCTAACCAGAATTAGGGTCAAAGCAGACGAGGTGTGGACCCTTCCTTTTTAAAAATTAAGTCCAGGTTTCTGGAATAAATAACCAGCATCCCTAAAAGAAACCTCAATGTAGAGGGGGAAACACACACACACACACACACACACACACACACTTCCCTGAGCAAGACCCACTTTTGTAAGCAAGAAGTGTAATTTGCTGAATGGTGCAAGCAAGCTCCAGGCACAGGAAACGTTATACTTTACTCAGGGAATCAAGGCGGGCAACTAGCCCTGTGACTGCAGCCAACAGCTTCAAGAACACTGTCCTTTCTGCTTCAAGGCGGGGAGGAAACGTTGATTTTGCCTCTTTCTTCTTTGCAGTTATTATTCAGGAGGTTTCCCTGTCCCCAACCCCAGCAACCATCCTCAGAGTTTGAGGTCATCCATTGGCTGTACCCAAAGGGGGGCCCCAGGCAGGAGATTCTGGGGCCAAAGAGGGCGGCTCCCCTGCGTGGAACCCTTCCCTGGTGGCTCCCAAATCCGGCATTTTCTCTGCCTGCTTTTCCCTCGGGGGAGACTCAGGAAGGCTGCAGAAATCTGGGCGCCCGCTCGCTCGCTTGTCAAGAAGCAAACTGTCTTCACATTCTCCAAGAGCAACATCCCTGCCTAGGAAGAGGAAGGAAGAGGCAAAATAAATAAAACCAGTTAATGTTGTAGTTAACTTGCAAATCAAGTAAATCTGTTGGTGCCGTATTTGAGAAATAAACCATCAGAGCGTCACAGCAAACACACACTTCTGAACGTCTTCATTTTGATTTAATGGTATATCAGCGTCAACTATCGCTTCCTCTGCTGGTACACACGGCCTGATGCCGCGGGAGGAGGGTGCCCATGTTTATCACCGAGTGAGATGACTAATTACACCTTGTCAATCACCGGCTATGAAGACATAAAACCAGCGCGCACAATGAAGTAGTTGCCTGCAGCGTCAATTAGTTGGCGATTCCGAGGTTATTGCGTGGCCCTGCTTTGGCCGCCTCTAATAACGGGACAGAGCGCCGGGAACAGCGCGCTGATCAATCACCCTCCTTCCGCGGCTCCCCAGCGCCCTCCCCCTCTCCCCCCGCCCGGCCTGGCCTCACTTTCTCCGGGCGGCTTGCGCTTCCTCCCTTCGCGGCCCCGGCTCCGTGGCGCCGGCAGCCCCGGGAGCCCCGAGAAGTTTGCGCGCGGCAGCTCCGCAGCCGGTAGCCGGGAGACCCGCAGCCTTCGGGGAGCGCCGGGGCTGGTGGCCCCTTTGTTGGAGGAGGCGTGGAGGGAGCGCTTTTGTTCTGAGTTAGTCACGGTGGCCGGCTGGAGGCTGCTACCTCATTATGCGCCGGGTCTGCTTCTCTGCAAGGAAGCAGATGGTGGGGAGGTAGGCAGCGGCAACAGTGGCCAGACCTGAAATACGCTCACCTGTCACCTCCCACAAAAGGCAGGTTCGGGGGGCTTAGGGATTCTTTCCCCTTATTAGGGGGAGGGGGCGAGGGCCGCGGTTTCCGGCGCCTGCGAAATGTTCCGTTTACCTGTCGGTGCCCGTCCTCCCCACCCCCTGCTTTCCCTTGGCTGCGGCTTCTCGCACGGTGTAAATGTCATTCACGTGTCAGGATATGTGTTTACAGCCCGTTCCTCTCCTTATTTAGTCTCTGAGGACAGGGTTCAGCGGTTGCGCGACGTCCCCTTGCCGCTGGGGGAGATTAGCAAAGTTAAGGGCCTCTGAACCCGGGAGCCAAGGTGCCCAGCGGCGGGAGAGGAGCTGGAGCTTCTTACAGCCCGAGCGCTTCCCAGCCTGTAGAGGAGGGATAGAGAAGCACACGGGAAGCTGCCCGGGAATCTAGGGTCAGTCCAGGGATGGAAGGCAGCTGCTTGTCCGAGAGGTGGCGAGGGAATCTTGTATGTACTGGGGAGAAGTGAAGAGCTGCAAGGTGTGTTTCAGCCCTCGGCAAGAGTTACTATGGACAACCCCTTCAGCTCCTAAGACAGTCCCTGGAGCTCTCAAAAATGTATTGTATCCATCCAGCACCAAACACAAAAACTCCAGCACCGTTATAATTTTTTTCTCCCCCTTGGACGACCTCCAGATGAACCCTGGTGACTCCCAGATTAGATTTTTATTCCCCACTTTCTTTGAAAGAAATTGTCCCAGATGCTTCAGTACAACATGTCTGTGTATTCGTGTAGGCGTCCGCGTGCCTGGGCGCGGGCCGTGTGCAGGCGCTGAAGCACAGTCTGTGTGAACTCGCGCGCACGCGCGCCTTTGGATTTATGGTCCTTCCCTTGCGCTGGGGCATCTGTGCACGTGCAGCCTGTACACACATACTTGTAACTTCAAGAGTTTTTGCAAATACGAAAAACATAACCTCCTGGGAGCGCACTTAGGGACTTAAGTGGGATTGCCCAAGCAGGCAAGTGTAGTTTTAACTTCCAGAAGCTCTCTCCTGCTCAGCCCTGGACACTTGTACATGATAAGTACGCATAAACCTTAGGTCTACATTAGTGCTGGCCGTGGTTTTGCCATCAAAAAGAAATGCATGCTGGCTGTTTTTTGCCAAAAAAAATGATCATGTACATTTGCACACATGTGCATGTGCTTGGGAATTACAAACGGTGTGTATTTATGTGTGAAACTTTTGTATGTAAGAAGTATGATTTCAGTGCTGTTTCAACTCTGTGTCCTCAGAGATCCTAGCTTTCCCTTTACTCTTCTGGCAAGCAGGTCGCCTCAGCCTGAAACCCTTAACTCCATTACATGGAGTGAACTCACCTCCAAAACAAATGGACTCAGGGGGATAGGACTAAGTAACAGACTTGCTTATTCAGTGTTTCTCTACAATCACTTTTTATTTCCTAATTCCCACTTCACCAGGTACCTGGGTGTTACCCTCAATTGCCCAAGAGACTTTAGGTTGAGCCAGAAGTCTAAAGACTGGGACTGGCACTGGGATTTATCCTACAGTCTAGCTGTTAGTCCTTGGTGAAATGGTGTAGCCAGGTGACTCTGATGTTACCAGGGTGGGTAGCCTGGCATGCCCAAAGGTCAGAGCATGGGTCTGTGGTCTTTAAGAACCTCACTGATGCCAAATGTATCTCAGAGTGAGAAAGTTTTTAATAGGAGAGGGGAAAGAGGGAATGAATGTTTAAAGAATGTGTGGAGTGCCTACTATGTTCCAGACATTTTATGTCCATAATCTCTTTCCTTCGTCACATCTACTTGGAGGGCCTTCTTGTGTCTCATTGAAAAGGTCAGAAACAAGCTAAGGGAAGTTAAGTCACTTGCCTAAGATTACACTGCATGTAAATGGCAGAGTTTGGATTCGAACTCCTTGCTTCTCTGAGTTCTTAAACCATGCTCGCCCCACTCTTCCAGGCTGGAGAGAGACGGGAAAGAGCAAGAAAGAATTACACGCTTGGCCGTAAATTGGGCCCTAGCTCTCTTGGAGCAAGGATATGCTAGCTGGCCTCCTCCCCGGGAGTCACAGCTCTGTTCTTTTCCGGCCTTTGGGGCTCAGCTGGGTCCCCAGGAGGCCTGAACCGCCGGCCGCCCGCGGCAGGGAGCCCCGGACGGAGGCGGACCTCAGCGGGAAGCGACCAAAGGCTCTCGCAACTCTGCCTCAGGCCTGCCTTCTCCAGCCTCCCCAGACGGTGCCTGAGGCCAAGGGGAGATCGGAGTGAGAACTCCTCGAGCATCCTCTGGCTGCGCCTTCTTAGGATGGAGACAGCGAGGGGAAAGGGTTTTATTTTCCTTCCCGAAGAAATCGCAGGAAACTGTTCGTAGCTTAAAAATTCCAAACCCCGCGCTCTCCCTCCTCCCTTCCTCCCGCCTCCTCCTCCAGCCTTGCCCACCAGCTCCCACCATCTCCTCTCAGCTCTCCTCCTTTCGCCTCACCCCTCCCTCTCGGGTCTCCCGCCTTCCCGGAGCACGCGCTGCCAAGGCCTGGGGCGCCCAGCGGCCAATGGCACGGCAGCAGGACGTGATGTCAGGCGCGGCTGTAGAAAAGGCGCGGAGGCTTGCGCTGGCGCGGACTGCAGAGCCGGGGCTGGGCTCGGCGCGCGCTTGGAGAGCATTGCGCGCGGCTGGGCCCGCGGCCGGCGGCTCCTCCTCCCACTCTGCTCCTCCTCCTTTTTCTCCTCCTCCACCTCCTCCTCCGCCTCCTCCTCCTCTTCCTCCTCCTCCTCTTCAATTCTCCGGGTGGCTCGGCTCGGCTCGCTGGCTTCGGAGAAACCCCTTCTCCAGTTGCCGACTCAGCGCCCAAGAGGGTCGCCTTGGGCAGGGGGCGCACCCCAGGGAGAGAAGGGGTTCAGGCAGCTTGGCCGCCGCGGGCACCTTCCCCTTCCTGGGTGAACCCCGACTGCAGCCGTCGCCGCCCGGGCAGAGTTTGCGCCCCTGTTTTGCGCCCTGGGCGCGGAAGACGGGCGGGCGATGCCCGCGGCGTGAAAGCGCCCGCGGCGGGCGCCGACCTCTGCCCTCGTCTCCCGCCACCCCCCTCTCCCCGTGCCCTTGTGACCCTGGCTTTGGCGCCGCCGCCCAGGCGCCCCGCGATGTAGCTGCCCCCACGCCTCGGCGGGAGGCGTCCTGGCCCGCGGGCGCCCGGGGGCCCGGAGCCCGGCCTGGGGGCGCAGCCGAGCGCGGGCGGGGCCGGGGCCGCGGTGGCGATGCATAGGGCCCGTTAGCGCCGGGAGCGCCAGGCAGCTGAGGCGGGGGGCTAGCCCTTCCTCTGAGGAGCCGCGCCCCCGGCCCCGCCGGTCCCGCCGCGATGCTGTTCCACAGTTTGTCGGGCCCCGAGGTGCACGGGGTCATCGACGAGATGGACCGCAGGGCCAAGAGTGAGGCTCCCGCCATCAGCTCCGCCATCGACCGCGGCGACACGGAGACGGTAGGCGCGCGGCTGTGGAGTCGGGGCTGAGAGCTGGGACCGGGCCGGGCCCGTCAGCGCCTCTGCTCCCCGAAGTTTGGGGAGAGTCCTTCGTGCCGCACGGGACTGAGCGCTGGGGATCCTCGGACAGGATGCAAGGCCGGTAGCTCCAGGCTCGGGGGAAACCCGGCTGCTGGGGCGGAGGAGGGAAACAAAATCTCCGACCTGGAGGGTGGAGGAGAGTGTTTCTCCCAAAGTGAAGCGAGGTCCCACCCGAGGCCGGGCGGCTCCTTTCTCCCCTACGCCAGGCGCTCCAGCCCCGGCTCTCCTCCACTACTCCGCTCCGGCTGCTGGCGCCGCCGCCCGCGCCTCTGGAGAAGGGCGAACCAGCCGGGAGGAAGCCCTGGGGCTCCAGCCGCTTTGAGTCACTTCTAGTCTCCCAGCAGCTGGGGCTCCCTTCCTAGAGCAGTTTCAGGGGCCGAAGTCTTCTGGGCCAGCACTTTTCGTTGGTGGTGTCCTCGCCTCGCTGGCTGGCCCGACTTGCCCAGGCCAGGACTGGGAGTTCAGGCTCCGGCCTGGCTCTCGCGGAAGGAGACTACATTTGGATCTCTACACCTGGCTCCGCCGGCCCAGCCCCAAATAGCCAGTTCTTGGCCTCAGACCTCCCCGGGGGCCAGACAACCAAACGCTGCCCAAGAAGCAGGCCCAGAAGTGACCTTTAGAGGCCGACGAGGTGGGGAGCATTGGCGAAGCTTTTCAGCTCCGAGAGCAAGAGCGGCAGCCCAGTGGCTTCCCGGTCTCCGAGACCTTTTCCCCCTCATTAAACATTCCTTACTCCTCAGTTTGGTTAGGGATGAATTTGGTTTGGGCCTGTTCTGCATGCAGAGACTTTGAGGGTCCCCTTGTACTCTACTCACCATCTCCCTAGACTCAAGAGGGTCCAGCTTGTGTGGCAAAGGAGACAGAAGTTAGTTGCCCGACCTGTCCTGGCCTAAACCTTTCATCTGAAGATCCAGAGATCACTGGGGCTGGGGGCCAGGAACTCTACTGTCTCTCTGAAGTGAAGTCTGTGTGGACCGTGACCTTTAATGGTCACTTTACCCCATTTCTGGGGCCCAGACGGTGGTTTCTTTAAGAAACAATTTGGAGAAAGCTCTTGGAGGGCTTGACTGAAATGTAGTTATGGCTGTCCCAGTCCCTAAGCAGCGGGAATATTTCTGGGGAAAGGGCATAGGGTCAGGAAGCAGGAGACATAAGGCTGGAGAATCACCTAGACCAGGAGCCTGGGGCTTGGGCCCTTGGCAGCCTAGAACTGGACCGTTGGGTCTGACCCTTAGCCACCGAGATTTGGGCCCTTTTGGGTGGAGGAAGCTGCTTCTCTCTCAGGCAGCCCTCTCTATGCGTTCAGGGCCGGCTGGGGCCATGGAGGGAGATGAGGGTACTGGATTTTTGGTGGCGGCGCGGCCACAGGCTGACGCAGGCGCGGCGGTCTCCCGCCTTCCTCCCTTCGCAGACCATGCCGTCCA